TATTATGTTAAATATGCTGCACTATTGTCTTCTATAGTATTTATGTTGTAACACCAATAGACACTATTATGTAAATTTGCTGCACTATTGTCTTCTATAGAATTCATCTTGTAATACCCATAGACACTATTATGTTAAATATGCTGCACTATTGTCTTCTATAGTATTTATGTTGTAACACCAATAGACACTATTATGTAAATTATGCTGCACTATTGTCTTCTATAGCGTTATAGGTGGTAATAAGTACATTCCAGGACGTGGAATAAACATAGTTGTGATGGATCCCCAGTCTAAACAGATCATGAACACCAAGACATTTGATACATATGAGACAGGTATGTACCAATATACATGGAATTTGTAATTCTGTTAAAAGTGCGATTCATTAAATACTTATTTAAATATAGTGGGTACAATATATACTGTTTTATAAAAGTGAAATCTTCAAATCTATTTGATTCATATTTAATCTGGAAAATTACATCATTACTTTTTTGTCAGTGTGATACACACCTTTTGGGACAAGATTATTCTTTGTGCCTCAATAATGATGCAAGATATTTGCTGAAACTTTTGAATATCTACCTGGGAGAAAGCAACAACTTAATAACAAACTGTGAAACATTCCTCGAGACTAAACCAGCTTGTCGATTCCCTGTCTAATATCTGTCTGACCCAATTTGACTATGATCAATATTTCTATTTAATCCATGTACTATATAATATTATTCTTAATTTTTTTTATTTTGATTTTTTCAGAAAAAGAGAGTATCAGACTTGTTGAGTTCATCAAATCTCTTGCTGATGGATTGATTGTGGTTGCAACTACCTATGATGAAGCATCCCATAGGTATATATACGACTGTTAAATGTCATAGTGTTGATTAACCAACTGAATTTAAAGTGATCCACAATCCTTTAGGATTAAACAAATTTGTAATATAGAATGCCCCCCCCCCTCCCGACGTTATTGAATGTGTTAGTGTTGGTTTTACAAAATATTTCTTGAATTATTATCAACAATTTTATTAATTTGAATATTTTTTTAGTTTCAGATTTCGGCTAAAAATTACTTACTGTAGAATACTTTATTTTCGCTTGGAATTTATCTTCGCTATTTTCGCTGAAAGGATGATTTCGTGAAAATAAAATCCAGCGAATATACTTTTTTTTCCTATATTTCACATTAAACTCATCAAAAATCAGTGAAAATAAATTCCATACACACCGCCCAAAAAAGCCTTTTCAGCGAAAATTAATTCCAGCGAAAATAAAGTATTCCACAGTATTTCTTAATCAAAATAGAATAAACTTGTGGTAATTGGAACTCATGCACGGCATTGTAAATGCGAACAAATTATATACATTGTCTTGAATACACACTCACAAACTGTGATCTCAGTGTCAGTTTTTAGCCTTTAGAGTCTGCAGGTTATCAAATTCTCCCCAATAGCTCAGAATAAATGAAATTTACCGTACCACACTCATTTAATGAATCTCATGTTGTAGGCTCACTGCATGAGGGTATGCTCACTAACAATTTGGATTTGTACTTTGATTAAAAATTAATTTATGATTGACATTGACAATAACTTTGAAGATTTGTATGCCACTTTAAAACATGCATCCTGGTAAATTTTTAAAATTATTGAACTTAAATCTTAACTACTGTAAAATCGTGAAATTTGTATTAAAAGCCGCGGCTTCTATTAAAATGGTACAATGCAACAGAGGGGATGCGGTTTTTATTTGAGCATCTACACATATAAGAAATGGTGAATCTTTGGGTCTCAATTGTCCAAAAAGAATGTGTGCGGCTTCTATTAGGGATAGGGCTACTAATACAGATTTTACGGTAATTAGTAAATTAATATCAGAACTGTATTGTATAAATATTCATGATTGAATTCAACATAGGAATTTAAGTACTCAATGCGTTTTGATCATCAAAAAGCCATTTCATTGAGCACTCTGGTCAGATACATCTCCATGGAGTGTGATTTGCATACTAAAAGTTCTCATCTAGTATACGTGGTTTGCCCTTGCAACTAGCACAATAGAGGTGTTGCCAGACACAAAACTATTTTTATCAAATAAGTGGAGCATTTAGCTTATTTGCCTGTGTGTGTGTCTGTAGTGGAAATCAAGGATTTCCAAGATCAATGAAATTTTATTTTATATTTAGCTTTTTTTCATGGATTTATTTTATAGCAATTTTTTTTCATTGTAGAATAACTTATGATGCAAGAAATGAGTTAGCAAGTATTGGAAGTTCTCATATACATAGTCTGGATTATCGGGACAGCTGGAGTTTGGTTGGGCAGAAAGGTTTAATGGGTGTTTCACCATATGAAGTAATTCATGACAGGGTTGGACAAGGATGGGGTGCTCATGCTACCATTAAAGAGTGTGTTCCTCTCAAAAGTAAGTCTTGTGATCATTTGCATCAATACTTCATATTTAGCTATCTTGCAGTAAGGACATGGGAACTTATGCTGCAACTATGTCTGTGTGTCTGTTATAGATTGATTGTTTGTTTTTTTTGTTTTGTTTTTTTGCAGTTGAGTCTGTTGGAGGTCAGAATGTAGTTTTGAAAAACGGCAAACGAGGGGATTTTTGTAAACAGTATGAAGGATATGGTGACTTTTGTTCAGGTACGGTGAATATTCACTTTTTGTCGTCATATTTTACATCAGTAGACCATTTTCTGTCCACAGCTAGCTAGATGTTATTTGTGAAATCAAACATAAAAGCAAAGGTCATAGCATAGTGGCATCAAAACATTGTATGGGATTTGACAAATGCGAAAGTATTTTTTTTGTATTTTATGTATATACACATTTAATGATGACCAATTTTGATGCAGTAAGGGTATCTCAAAGCCTCAAAGTTTGACATTGAGGTATAAAAAAAAAATTCAAGTTCAAAATCAAATCATGATTTTTGCTGCAGATTTCAGTTCTCTTTCACACTGTACACAAAATCTCGCAGTGAACAGAAAAACACGTATTCACAATTTATTATATTGTGTGTAGCATGTATATTACAAGGTAAAGAAAATCCCAATAGGAATAAAGAAATGGGAAACGAGAGTGGGGTGAGATGCTAGTGGACTATAATGAATACAGTTCAAATTGATATTCACGATTTGATCAGCATTTGTGATGCCAATTTACGTCATAGATGTGCTTCATCACTAGAGGGCAGCATTTCTAGGAAAGGTGTAATTCAATGCATTTGTGAAAACCAAACTGTTACATCACCCTGTGACTTGCAGTTGTTGTGTTCAATATGGAAATAGTGACATACACAAGGCATGTAAAATGCATTTTCCTCTGATTACAAGTCACGAAATTAACAACTGTTTAAATTAAAGTAATAAATCTCTTTTTATTTATTTTGCAGAAGAGAATATCAACAAACCCTTACAGCCAAAATCTCTAGATGATGAATCATTGAAGAAGAACCCGGCATATTCCACACCGATACTGGTTATCCCAGGTATGTGCTACTCAGTCTGCCTTTAAAGAGCTTGTTGTCTGCAGGGGAAAGAGATCAGATAAGACACACAAAAAATAGAATTGTTTTGGGTCAGTATGTACGTCAGTTTGAAGCGTGTACCTCGCACATTTTTGGGGAGATTTCTGTCAAAATATTGATGCATCACCACACTATTATTTGTGCCAAAACACAAACAGTTTTTTTAGCTTACATGTGATTTAGTGAGATTATATTGTATTTCCTGTATCGTGTATAGATGTGAATGACAGGTGTATATGTATATCCAGTATACAATAAATGACATTTTTGGCTAATGTGTGCTTCTATTGCATCTATTAACCAATAACGTAATTGTTCTGCGTAACCTCGCTAAATTTATCTTTCTTACAATGGAAAAAAGAGCAACCATTTTATCCTAATTGTCTGCATCAGTGGGCGTTTGCGGTTCTACACTACTAACTTAATTATATATTTATTATATTTTCATCTTGACTGCCAGAATTTTCAATGTACATCATGTATTTATTGTATGATGTAATTGTACTTATTTTGGGTCAGTGGCGTGCAGTACTTTAATAAACAAAAAATAATTCTAATAAAGTTGTTTTCAAATGTCATTTTCGTTTTCATGAAATTCACTTTGAAGTATGACAAATATTTAATTTTCAATGCAATGTGAACTTTCTAGATTATAACAGCTGTAATATCCAGTCCGTTCACAATTGTGTCTTCTCCATTTCTATTTCAGGTCTTGATTTATATGCTTTACGTAAAACATTAGATTCCTTGTTGGAAGTGCCTGGATTGAATCCTGATGTGGTCATGGTAAATTGAAATTTTTTTCATGAAACATCTTAGAAGTTATACTACCGGTACCATATAACACATTTTTATTGCGATCAATTCATCAGTGTAATATGAGGTTATTCACAAAATATTGGAATTTATGGCCAAGTGCATTCTGTATTTTCTGGCCAAAACGAAAAAAAAAATGGAGGGTTTCTAGGTTGCATTCGCTCAGTTGCATCGGCATTTGATATTGTTACCAAATCATGACTCAGATTTTGGAGATCTCGCCAGCCCAATGGGAATGCTGGTCGTTCATGAATATTAATGAGCTATATGAATATTGATTAGCAGTGAATATTAATGAGCTTGGTCACAGTGCAAATATTTTGCATATAGTGGAGTCAAAATATTTATTATGTT